CTCTCCCTCTCTCTCTCTCTCTCACACACACACACACACACACACACACACACACACACACAGAGTTAGATGGAGAAAGTGATTCAGGATCACATAACATAGCAAGTTCTGCCGTAGAGGAAGTGGAAGAACACCACCTTCCGGGCTCCAGTCGAGTTATTCTGTCATTGGATCCTGGTAAAGCCATTATATATATAAAGAATAAAAACAGAAAATATGTTTTTTCTAACCATCTACTTACTCTCTGTTCCTCATACTTGGCTGAATACATAGGAGATGCTTGTATCTATTCAATACATAAATATTCATGAAATGGAAGACTGAATATTTACATGTATGAGTAGACCGTGATAGAAGCAGAATTTTGACTCATAGGTTTAATATAATTTTATTTAGTACATCTATAAACACTTTTATTAACAATACCAGATTCAAAATATTATTTTGAAATTAATATTGTCTCTTAAGAACAGTTGGGGTGAGATAATAATTGAGTTTTTATATGTAATTTTTAAAAGCTTTTAATATTTGAGCTCTTAAAGAATTTCCCACCCCCTTTTAAAAAAAAAAATCTAAAATGTATATATTTAGGCCACTTGATTGGTTCATTCTAAGGTTACAATTTGGCTAAGCCAGAAACACCTGTTGTCTTTTGGACTTTATTCTTGATTTTCCAAATGTTTCATAGAAGTGAAAAATTGAAAATCTCCTTAGAGGTCATAGTCCAAGCCTCCATCCAATCCAAGAACTTTCTTAGTTACATTACTGACATATTTTCCAGTGTTTTCTTGAACACTTCCAGTCATCAGATCACTATTTTGGGATGCAGCCTGTTTTGTTTCTACACAGCTTGAATTTAGTTTTATTGTGTTGAGTCGACTCCTTGGCAGCTTTTACCAGTTGTACATAGGACAGTGATTAAGTTATTTTAAAATTCTTGCACTTCATTCTATAAAAATGTTACTTTTGATTAGGTGATTTTGTTAGATGTCAGTGCATGCAGGTGTGGCAAAAAGATGAGTGTGTATTAAATCTTCCTTGCTGTCCATATAATTTCTTATGGTTTGCAACTGCAACCACTATGGTATTTGCAGTTTTTTCTTTTTTGAGTAACTGTCTTTTAGTTTCCACTTGAACCTTTAACCTTTGTTTAACAGATATATTTCCTTCCTGATTCCTACACTACACCCAAATCTAAATTCAAATATTTTTACTTTTTCCTAAAAACCTATGTATTCCCCGTTATTCAAATTAGTATTCTCATGCAGGGGCTGGCAAACTTTTTCTGTAAAGGGCTAGATAAAATATTTTGGGCTTTGTGGGCTAAAATGCAAATCATAAAGATATATAACAAGAAAGTAATTTTCCACAAATTTTTTATTGATGAAATTAAAAATATAATAACTAAGTACAATTTTTGTGTGAAACAGTCTACTAATTAGTAGAATGGAATTCTTTTGGCGAGGGTGCTATAACATTTAATTGGGATTAAAGTTATTGTTCACTACCATCAAATTGATTGCAAATGATTATCCAGAACCCATTAAGTCGTATTTATTAAATGTTAGTGTTTTTAAAAAGTGGCCACAAACTAAAGGAAATAGCCCCTAAATCTTATTGTAATGAGTATACAGGAGGTTGGCAAAAGTAGATTTACAGTTGTAATACAAATAGAAAATACAAAAATGAACTGTTTCATGTACTCATAACTGTAAAGCTCCTTTTGCCCACCCCTGTACAAATCAGTTTGACCTGTCTTTGTACTTCATCTAAAGCAATCTAAAGTTATTATGATGAATTTCTTTACTTTGAAGTACAGCTCAACCTTATTTTCACATATTTTTTAACAAACATTTTAGGTTTTCAGTTATCTCCATATTATGGTTTGTTCATCACCTGTGTGCTTACATTCTCCTTTTCCAACTTAACATTTTCACTATCAAGTAATCTCAAAGAGAAGTCAAAGATATTAATTAAATCAGAGCTTAATAAGTACAAAATACCTTTTTCCTAAGTTTTTTGTAGATCAGTGATATATCTTTGCTAACATGCATTTGAAGCTTTATATCTTACTTGGTGACATTCCTAGTGCTGTCATATTATAGAGCCCTTGTGTTATTAACAGACTGCAAGGACAACATATTAAACTTCTATCTTTTCACTCCCCAGAATGTGTATGTACACACCATTACACATTGTGGTACTGATTTTTACTTGTAATATATATCATATGTAATATATAAACAAAATATTTGATTGCTTAATTCATTCTCATATTATTTAAAATTTTCTGTGTTTATTACTGACTACAGAAGCAACTTTTAATAGCTTTTGGATCATAGGCCACTTTGATAATCTGTTCATAGCATGCACTCTCATCCAGAAAAATGATACATGCCTGAATTTTGCATATAATGTGAGGTGATCCTTAGGCTTTCTGAAGCTCGTCCTGAAACCCTAGGTTAAGGGTTAAATTAAAGGCTGCATGCAGCTGTATTGCTGAAGTTTGGCGACCTCTTGTGTTGACCTATTGAAAAACAGGAATGTGAAAGAAATACTTGTATTTATTTTATAGCTACTATCAGACTATTGGCTTTGTTTTCTTTCCTTGAAGAAATAAGTCATAATTCCTGATTTGATATTATTTAGTGTCTTGATAAATTTGTAACTAAATGAATGAAAAAAATATTAAAACAAGCATGGATGGGACCGGGTACAAATGAACTGATTTAGTCATAAGGAATGAGCAGCACCCCCAAAAGGATGTGCAGGCTGATCTCTTGATTCTTTGGGTTTTTCCAACCCTCTAACCCCCAGTGATCCAGGGTGATGGACCAAAGAATAGGTGCTTTTTTTTTTTTTTTTGCGATAAATAGAAAGGCCTTATTCTAATTCTAGGTGATTGAGAATACATACTTTTCCCAGTGGTATAATTTTAACATCTGCCCTTCCCTTTTTTTAATTGTGTGAGATATCATACTTATAGAAAAGTACATAAAATATTTGTGCCATTTCGTTTCCTGTAAGTCATGGAGGAACTCAGTTTTTAGGAAATCCAGAAATGTTTATTGATTTTTTAATTATTTTTATTTTTGAGAGAGGAGGAGAGAGTGAGAGAGAGATGAAAGAGAAACATCTATTGGTTGCCTCTTGTACACAGCCCAACTGGGGACCAAACCCCAAACCCAAGACCTTTCATTGTATGGGATGATGCTCTAACCAACTGAGCCACAGTTTAAAAGTTTTGAAAAAATTGGTTTTCCATCTCTTAGAAAACTTAATGTAAAACCTAAAGGTATACTCAAAAGTAAAAATAGGGTAGCCTGTTTGTTTAAATGTCTTATGTTTGTGGTATTGATGCATTCAGAATCTTTGCTCTTTATAATCCTTTTAAGTTTGCCATCCATCTATTTCTCCAGTCTTTATTCTCTGTTACTGTGCAGCTGTTACAGTTATCCAAATCATGCTGTTTTCTACTTCCTACCTATCCTACAGAATGTGCTTCTAACTCATTTGCTTCCTGGATTCCTTAAATAAAGTCAACTCTTGGCTCTCCTTCCAGAGCCCCTTCCTGAATCCCTTCCACACTCCAGTGCAGTGTAGCATTTTCACTTCACACATAATCTGTGCTTATTTTGTTGTATTGGTTTTGGCTGATTATAGCCTCTCTGCTGTAGAGGTCCTTGAAGATAGGAACTCAATAAATGTTTTGAATGAGCGAGTTAAGAGGCTGGAAAATGTTTTAAATGCCTCTCAATTATGTCTTACCTTTGCATTCTTACATTCTTTTGCGCGTTAGATCATATCTTTGCTTCTCAAAGACTATATATTGTATATCAAATAATTCTGATTTTCGGGTTTGATAGACTGATACATTTAATGCTAGCCTTAAAATAAGGATAGACAACTGGTTGTATTTAGTGTAGTAAAGGCATCACAAATTACATAATGGTCTATTGTTTTCCTTTTTAAATTAACTTCATAGAGATGTAATTTACATGAAATAAAATGTAGCCACTTTAAGTGTACAGTTTAACGAGTTTTGACTAACACATATAGCCACTATCCTGGTCAAGATTGAAGACATTTCCATCACACCCAAAATACTTGTGTTGAGCCTAGGTGACCAAACAACCCATTATGCCCAGAACTTATGGATTTGCAAGGGTAGTCCTAGGTAAACAGGAATAGTTTGATTACCCTTTTCATTTCCCTTTAGAGTCAAGTCTCCCATCTTCTGTCTCAGGTGACCTTTGGTCTGCTTTCTGTCACTATAGATTAGTTTTCCTATTCTAGAGTTTCTTATGAATGGAATCATATAATATGTTTCTTTGGTTCAAGATCGTGTGTTTTTTGAAATTTTCATTCATGTTGCTTTTATCACCTATTTATTCCATTTTATGCTGAGTTGTATTCCATTATATAAATATATCACACTTTGTTTATCCATTTACCTGTGGGTGGACATTTGACTTGTTTTATAAGAAATTACCAGATTGTTCTCCAAAGCAGTTTTCCTATTTTTCACTCCCACCAACAACATATGAGAGTTCCAGTGTTCTACATTCTTATCAACACATGGTTTTCACAATAATTTTAAGTTTAGTCTTAAAATTACTTTTATCTCTAGGAAATGTCCCTCTTTGTTTTTGTTTAATTCCCTTGTCCTGAAGTCTGTA